ATATGCAGGCACAATGTTTAAGGATCTATCAAGTTCAATCAGTGGTATCCATAAAATGATTCTTTTATCAGTCTTTTTAGTGAGCTTAACAAGGGGACTGGCTGTCTCAGGGAACAGTTTAATAAAATGAAGCCTGGAGCTGAGCTTCATTGAAAGCCAGCCCACCCATCCCCTTTTAAGTTTTTCATTTCCAGTCACAAGCAACCTTTGTGATAAATCTGTTTCTGCAAACGATCAAATCAGGGTTTGTTTTCCTCCTTCACTGGCGCTAATGTGCACTGGTCTTCCCCAAAAAAGACATTCACAAAGGAGCTACAGCTGGAAAAAATGGAATTTCTGATTTCATTTTTAAAAACACAGGATGGACCCAATTTCTGTGATTCTGTGACACATTTAAACTAACTGCTGCATATTTTAAAAGATACAATTACGGACTACAAGCGGGGAATTTAACAGTGATCTCATTTTTTTACAGAAATCCATTATTACTGTTCTTAAATACCTGTGAGGGAACTTACAATGGCACCACTCAGAGCCTAGGAAAAGACAGAAGAAAATTCTCTATGCAGCCTTCATCAGGCTTCAAATAAAAGCCATAAAACACACCCTCTTCACTTTGTCAGCGTAGTCAGTAAGAAGCCTAAATGACAGCCTCTGACAAGCCATTCATCACACCACAATCACATCTCGCAGTTCCACACAGCAGTCCGCACACATTATCACCCAGCTGTTCACTGTCACGCAGCTGTAATGGGTTTTTGTTTTGAAGGAAGGACGCCTGCTTCGGTGTCCCAAGGTGAAAGGGTTAATCAGTGGGCTGCCACGTCCCCCCCCCCTCCAGGCCTGGCCGCTGCACCGCCGGACAGACACGCGGAGAGCGCCGCCTGTGCTCTGGTCCTCACGGGCGCCGGCGTCAGGACAGCGGCAACACAACAGGGCTGGGAGAGAAGGGGGAGGTGCCGCTCCAGCAGCAGAACAGCTTTCAGGCACTTGTTAGAAAGAAAAATACGATTACATCTGACAGGCGATGATGCCGGAGGAAAGGCGTCAGATGGGAAGCTAACCCATTTTATTCCCTTCTTTCCTCCCCATCTGCATGGTTACTACTCTTATGTCTGCTTAGCGATCACGGAGTCTAGCACGGAGGGAAGTGGAAGGGGAAGGCAGCATTTAAGAGACAGAGGCTCTGTCTTGTTTTATTATTATAGTAATTTGTCCCTTTTGTGTCTGTAGGCTTGAGGGTACATCGTCTGAATGACTAAAAAGGAACAGTGAAATGAGGCTTAAGTAAGTTAGCTTTTCATGTTTATATTACCCAAGGTACGCCCTTCAGCAGTAAGTAAATCTGCATTATTTTACTCCTTTCACCGCATATCCCATTTTAAATTCCACAGGTTCCCAAGACGTTTTACAGACTCGTCCTTTATGAAAAGGATCTTCAACACCTCAGATGCGCACTCACCAACATGGTTATACCAGTAAGAAACTAAACACATTTGAGTCTTAATCGGAGCACAGTCTGAAATACTGGCATTTGTAAAGTAAGATAATGAGCTTTATTTTATATAGCGCCTTTAAAGGCTAGATAGCTAACTAGGCGCTGTTCGGTTGACCACCTTAATCATTCCAGTTGATGAACTATCTCACTTGAAATCTATGTCCATTGTTCCTCCACTGATTCCCTGTTCATAATATCACCTGATTTACAGAACTGTGCACTATAGCTTGATCCCAAAATCCATCTTAATTGCGCATCAGGTGCACAAAAAAATATTAATTTGTGTATAAAGCACAAACTGTACAACTCAGACTAAACAATAAAACTGTTCGTTTTGGCTTTGGATTAGCTAAACCTTAATGGTTTCAAACCTCGCTCCTTTCTCATACCATCTACAATAAACTCTACCACCGTACACTTATTCTACAAATTCCTTCTGTAGCTGCTGTAAATAAACTTTAAAGAAATATGAATAAATAAGACTTCTAGATTACTGAAAAACAACACACAACAAAACATTCAACTGGGGCCTCATAACCAAATTGTGATCCGAAACATTCAAGCATTATTCAGTTGCAGAAACGCATTACACTACAAACACAAATGAACAAAACAAGACTGTAAATGAATTATGTTTCTCCTACAGTGTAATAAATGGATCCTTCAATTGTTAATACATCCTTTGCAGCACGCCTGCGAATCCCCCAGGACTGACGCACCCCCATCTGTATATCGGGAGTGAACGCGACTCGGCTACGCTCCTCGTCCCAGCTGTCTCGCTGGACAGCGGTTGAGAAGAGTGGGTTCTTCCAGAAAGACAGGAGGACCCAGCTCAAGGCCCATGAGGCTCGGTGGATCAAGCGGAGAGCTACAGATCGTGTTGGCCTGAAGAAAAGATGGCACTGACTACAGAGGCAGGCCGGTGAGGGCTGCGCCGAAGCGCCCATGCAACACCACAAGAAGGGCAGTGGTAGTGAGTGGGGAGGGGGTGAGGCCCAGTTCTCGTCTGCCCTGGGAACAAATAACATTAATGGACACGCACGCACATAGGGATTATACCCAATCACACATCATTTTGATTTGGCATTTTTTCTCATTTTATAATCAATGCAGATTCAAAACAAATCAGATAAGAGAAGTCTGATTATGTTAGTTACTATAAAAAATACAGAAGATACAGGCATTAACAGAACAGTTAATGTTTCTAATTCGGTATTAATCTGCTTAGCGATAACTGTCTTTAGCATACTGGTTGGGTTTTTTCTCACAGTCTGCCTGCTATGAGTACTGATGTGAATTCAGCACTGGGTTTGACCCAAACACACTTTGGTTTAAATTTGACTTACTGCAATTTTTTTTTAATTCCAAAATAATTGTCAGCACTGCTTCAACATTCAAAAAGCTTCTCCAAAAAAAAGTTACACTCAAACTCAACTGCCAGGTGAAAAAAATATCATGGGCCTATTTCAATTCAAAGTCAGACATCTCACTTTGTGTGAAGACAGGAAACTTCATCAAGGGTTTTTAATGACAACCATTTGGGAATAAACATTTGCAAAACACAAAAAGGAGCACAGCTGGTGATAGAAATCTAATTTTCTTGTTAAATGTACCATAGACATGAAAATCAGAAAAGCACTGCATTCTTTCAAACTGTAAAATTAAGAACAAGGAGATACTGAGAATTCTAAAAATCAATATACATATGACATTCAAAATTCACACAAAAAACAATGCGGTCCCTGGAGGAATAAATATATACTCCAGTTATAACTGAAAGTAATTTATTTCAAAGAATGTAGTTTATAAAATACTTTGCAGAATACAAATTCAGCCTTACTTGTAATGAGTGCAGTTGTGGCTATATGGAATTTTGATAACTTGATTATTGTATAAATTGAACTTATTTTTTTATGATGACTTCAGTGTACAGGTTATTTTTTCACAGATTAAAAAATGCCACAAATGACAAATATTGAAGCAAAACATTCTAGCTCAAAACTATAAAAACTACAATATTTTACCAATATAAAAAACACAACAGCCTTTTACCATCTTCAGAATCAGAAAACCTAGATATCAATCTAAACTTCACCTACATTTTTAATTGCATGTCAATTTTTGTATTAGAAAATCTCTCAGGAGTCCATTTAATTGCCAAAGTTGAAGGTGTATCCACTGTATGAAAGCACTCATTTTAAATCAATTTTTGGGAAGCAACAAACACAAATGTCAAGTGTGCTAAGCCACATAAAAAGCAAGGTCTTCAGGGGAAAGGCACTTTCTAGCACTTGTGATAGTAAATATGAAAAAGCTATTGCTCTTTTCAGTAAGAACAGATCTCAAAGTATCCTACAGCACCATCTGTTAAGGATCTGGTCACAAGGCTCTTCTCCCTATGATACGAGTTTAATGTATAATCCCACAAAATGTAGGTTTTACCTTGAAATGCAAAAGAAACACATCCTTGGCCTGCAATTTTGTAAATGGCAAAAAAATACGTAAAACAGTAAATCGTATCCCTAAAAATATCATTTTTACAGTGCTGGAAAAAATATTTCCCCTCTGTTTTCTGCATATTTGCACATTTTATACAGTGAATTTGGTCAGATCTCTTTGTGTGTTGTAAAGATATATAGGGGAGGATTTGAGAGAAAAAATGACACCAAAGTTGGGTGCTTCTTTCATGTGTTTCGGTGTGCTAGATAATCAAACATGCAACCTTCAGTTGTGGAAAACATTGTTGCCCACGCCCCCTCTGGCTGACACGGGCATGTATTCCACAGTGAGACCCTCATACCAGCGCTCCAGCATGGTGCTGGCAGACTCATGGCCTGGGGATGCTCTGCTGCATCACGACATGGACAACCTGCCATCAGCGAGGGAGCCGTGAATTCTGCTCCGGACTAGAGAATTACAGGAGAATGCCGGGCAGCTGGGTCAGGCAGCAAGACAACGATCCGAATCGCACAAGCAAGTCGACATCGGCATGGTTGAAGGACAAGAAATTTAGAGTTTTGGAATGGCCTAGTCACAGACCAGAGATGTTGAAACTAACAGTGCATGCTCGAAAACCCACAAATGTCACTGAGCTGAAGCAGTTCTGCATGGAGGAGCAGCCAAAATCCCCTACGGTGCAGTGAGAGACTGATCAATAACTACAGGAAACGTCTGGTTTCAGTCATTCCTTCTAAAGGTGGCCTAACCAGTTAGTGAGACTAAGGGGGCAATCACTTTTTCACACAGGGCGCTGGGTGTTGGGTAACTTTCTTTAAAAATAAGCATCAAAAAGTGGTATTATCTGTTCACCCAGGTCCCCGTTATCTAATATTAGGTTTTGGTTGAAGACCTGATAACATTCACTGTGAAAAACATGGAGCAACGCAGGAAATCAGACAATACTTTTTCACGGCACTGTATTTACATTCAGTTCCACTGTATAGTGGAAACAGCACAGTTACGTCCCTCCTCACCACTGGAAGCCAGTGCCACTCGGGGTTACCTTGTCGGCGTCCACTTTGCCCTTGATGAACTCCGCCCTCCAGAACTGCAGGGCCTGCTCCAGCGTCAGCCCGATGCCCTTGAGGAAGAGGCCGTACTGCATGCGGCCACCGTGCCGCAGGTGGTGCTGCTCTCGCAGGGCCCTGTGCAGATGGCGCATGCACAGCGGGAACGAGCTGGTGGACATCTGGGGAGCAGGAGGGAGAGTCGCGGTCAGGCACAAGCTCTCCAGACCACGGGCTCACAAACACACCCACACACACGAGCTCACGCAGGCACGGAATCGTAATGACAGACGAAGCTTTGGTGTGGGTCTGCAGAACTAAGCAACTTTTTAAAGTTCTTGTGGCCGCGTCTAATCCCCAGCACTCCCATAATGGGTTTCCTTTATATCTTTTCACATCATAAACCACAATGCACAGATCCACGTCAAGTCTGTGATGACTCTCGCACTCTCTCCTTACAGCCTCTTGCCAGGTTCCTTCTCTCTTCTCTTAACATACTGACTTTTTTAAAAATATGCCAACATCTTTTTGTACATAAATCCAATTAACAGTACCAACCAAAAAAGAAACATCTGCCTTACAGGGGCACAGATGGAAAATATTCAACAGCCTGCAGTCATCTTGTCCTTCAGAGTTATTTTAGGAGGGCTGTCAAAATCCTAAATAAAGGGTTCTGTCTGAACTAGGCCTCTGCTAAACCTGTCACGTTGCCACCTGAAGACATCCAATAAGAGTGATACAGGAATATGAAGTATTCAGTCCATGTTTCCTTAATCATCAATGAAATATTCCTAAATAATACAATGGTAGGAAACACCTGTTCTCCATTATACTGCCTTTCACAGCAATTCAGTAAAAGTCTTGTTTTAAGAGAAGACCAATCATGATGTACAGTACTGTACATTAATGTTTTTCCCCAGGATAAGAGAATACATATGGGAGACAAAGATAAGAGCAGCTCAGGATGTCCAACAGCTCACCTACACCTGCAGGTTACACACACAATCAAGGCATGAGCTGGACTACATTAGAGATCATTACGAGGCTCACTTTAATTACAAAACTTATTATGTAGTACAGAGAAGAAACAGGTCAAGCTTAAATGTCCTAAATGTAAAAAGTTAATGAAAACTTCAAAGTTTGACAAAGCTATTTATCTCATTGAAAAACCAATTTAAAGGCCACAAAGAACCCTGGGAATTTAAACATGCCTTCTCCTTCCTGTGAAGACAGATTCATTCATTGCATAATAGTCCTTCAGACAAGTCTTTTGCTGGACCTCAGTGGACTGACATGGAACTGTTGCATAGCTGGGCAGACGCACTATAAGAAACCCTGTCTCTTACTTGGACAACATGGTCAAGCAGTGCTCAGGTACAGGTTGCTGGAAAACAATGAAGAAGGGATAAAAGTTTAAATTCTGAAAAATGGATTTGAAGCTTCAATGAGAGCTGTATAAAAGCCAATTCAGTGATATGTAGTGGATACTTGAAAGTAAAGACCAACACTAAAGGTTAAATAGTGTCCTCTCCAATAGTATTAGTACAATAAAGTCAAAACCTACTAATGTTTAAGGCACTTTGTATGTGATCATGAGATTAATATGAAGTATAAGTACAGTATTTTATTTTTCCATTCCATTTGATAATAAGAGAACAACAACCTACTTTGAGTCCAACCCAGTGATTTCAAGTGACTAAGCAGTAAAACTTCACTTTAAGGTCTTTCAGAGTCTGTTATTGGTTGCATATTCATTTAAACCACAACTGCATGAAGTTTGAGAACCATCTAGCTCTCAAAACCCTTTGTATAATCATTGGAGATGTCTTGCACATCATTTGCTGTAGAAGCTTTGGGCTTTTGCCTATTCCTAGGGAGTATCTTCAGTACTTCAGTATCCTCAGCTGGCAAAATGTATGAAGGTGCTCACACCTTTTTTTCAGCATGGAACAAACCTATTACTTGTTCCTTTGTAGCCTACGCATGCTGACGCAGCTCCCCACCTGAACGTGTAAAATGTATGCTCAGATGGATTTAAATCTGGAGGTTAACTTGGTCAGTACAAGATCTTCTGCCTTCCGCCATCTGAATGACTTTGTTACAATGACTGTGTGTTTTGGATTACTGTCATGCCACACAGTAAGGTTCTGCCAATATGAATGAAAGACTTTATCCGCCACATAAGATGACAAAGTGTTTCTATAAACTTCTGAATGTATTCTGCTGTTGCTAACATTAGTGTCATCACCAATAAAAACAAACAAGCCTGTTCCAGAGCAATAAAGATGAGTGAGGCAGCCAGGCGTGCCCAGGCCATGACATGACCTCCACCATGCTTCACAGATGAGCTGCTGTTCTCTGGAGCATCGGCAGTTCCCTTCTCCACACATTAACCTTTACATCACTTAAATGGTAAACCTGTATCCTGGTCTCACCTGTCCATAGAACTGTGTTGCAAAACTCTGGCCTATTTTAATAATTTCAAGCAAATTCTATCCGGGCTTTTCTGCTCCTAGTGCTGAGAAGGTTGCATCATGTGGTATGTACTGTAATTCTGTTGTTTTTTTGTCGCCTTTGGGCTTTTACTGATTCATAATTATACCTGAGGTATCTTCATTCAGTGTGTTTCAATCGTTGATCTGATAAGCTCAATTTCTGTGCTGCAGTTCTGAATGAGTTTCAGAAGTGCTGTCTTTTTCTTTAACTTTTGGTTTTCACTTTTAACAACAGATTCAAAACACTAAAGTCAAAACAAAATGGCTTGGTTCATGGCTCTTATGTGTGCCTAATTAACCAACAGCTGACACCCCACCAACAAAAGACATCAGACAACATTCCAATATATCTGCTTCTTCAAAATAAAGAGGCCTGACACTATGCATCCAAGTCAAAAGCGTAAAATAAAACTGAATAGTTTTAATTTTTAGAACTCATAGTGAAAATTCCAGTTTAGATTTCAGTGCCTTAGAAGTTCTGGAAAGCACTGAATTATAATCCTACATGACATGAATATTAAATGTGAAATTCCTGGTTTCACACACGTATATGCGAAATATATTGGGGATTTAATTACTCATTTACTGAATCAATATTGCTTTGTGATCTAAATACAATACCAACAATCCATCTGAAGGTCATTCACCAGCAGCACAAAAAGAATTAGAATCTGACCGCGACAACTGTCTTCAGTACTTTAACGGTATACATACAATACAGAATTTCTCTTTGTGCTAGATTTGCTTCAAGGTGAATCCTTTTGAAACATTAAGAAGTTTACTCTTACAATTAGAGAATATTTTCACTGTTTCCAGCCTCCAAGAGATCTAATGCCCCTGTTGAATTACAGCTCCTTATTGCTGTTCCAGGCCATACCTCTACACACACTCCAAGCAGTAGGTTTCCTTGTGCTGAAACGAGCGAGGACTGACTGACACATGGCATTGACAGACATCGCTGAATTGTGAGAATGGCTACAATAGCAACACAAAATGAATTTACTCTAAACACACTGAAACAAGAACTGCTTTTATTGTATAGTAACCAGGAATTTGCCCTTGGAGCCCTTTACATACTTACTGGCTCACAGTACGGTTCCCGAATCTTTAAAGTGTTACTCAAAACTACTGCTATTCTTGAGTTTCCATGAAGACAAGTCTGTCAGTTCCAACAAAATTTTTAAACTACTTAGTGCCACAGAGCACGCAGCACACAAAGCTAATCACTTTGCAGTGATTTGTTTCTCTGTCATCATTAGAGGAGCATCCATTCAAACACTAAAGAGAAATCATGAGAACACACTTTAATGACACTGTACTTTATCTGGGACATGTCAATGTCAAAGGAATGAGAAACAACCACAACACCCTGATGCCTTTGTTCCCCATAGGCAGCTGAGCAAGTCTCATACCACTCTGTAATGTGGACTCAATATGCTGATACCATCGAAAATAAAAAAATAATAAGTTTGGAGCCAAGTGTACAAAAAGAAACTTCATTTTTTAAAACCTCATGTACAAATGTAAAATACCAGCTGTCAGTGCCTAAGCTCAGGAAAAATGAATTAATGTAGCTCTCCAAGTCTAAACACGTTCATTAAAATTTGAAATTTAAATATAATGTATAATTCACAAAGTTATAAAGAAAATTACAATTTATTGTGTTAGATTTATTGTTAACGTTTTATTGAACAAACATATCCGGAGTCTAGTGTAAAAGTCACTAGACTAGCAGGGTGCCTGGTCACCACTGGAAGCTCCAGAGCTCTCACACTCCCTTGACAAACAGCTCAAATCGTGCTATTCCCTGTGTCCAATGAGCTCCTCACTAATGAGTCAACATCATACACAACACTGAACATCACATGAGCCACACTGTCAGTCACGGATGATCAATTTATTGCAATGATGCCAAAAACATAAATCAACATCCAAAGTCTAAATTCTGAATATATTCTGTTTAAAACAAATACTGCACAAACAGTGATGCATTTCTAAACCATTTATTTAGTAGAGGGCTTTGCTACTCCGCCACACAGGCCAGCTTTATGGAGTGACCGGGACATTGATGACTCATGAGCACTTTCTCACATCACCCCCGGAGCTCCTCCGAAGCTGCTGTTTGCCCTGTGGTGATTTCCCGAAGGGACAGCCAGGTCTAGGCAGTTTCTAGGTGGTACAATTCACTACCCACTTTTAATGGTTAACGTCACGTTTTTAAAAGGGCATTCATTCATTTTGAAATGTCTTTTATACCCTTCTCTTGATCTGCGTTTTTCCCATAACTTTATCCCAGTATTGTTTTGAAAGCTTCTTGAATTTCATGGTTGAATCTTTTCTTGAAACTCAGTGCCTGACTAAGAGACCTTATAGATGGTTATACATCACTTTTAATTCAAACCAATGGAGATTTACTGATTCAAAAGAATGATCCCATGGCTCATTAAATGCTCTGATATCTGTAGAAAATCCTCCAGCCTGTAAAACATTAGAATTTAAGATTACAGAGCCTGGTTTAAGGAACCCAGCTCATGAGGTCCCTCAAACAAACCCAAGATCTTGTGCATGTGTCTACGAGCTCTAGAAGCACAACCCCAGGACCACAAGAATGGTCCTGAAGAAAAAGAAAAAAACTTACATTCTCTTTCATCATTACCGGAAAGTGGCACTAAGTGGATATATACAGTACATGCCTTAATAAAACAGCAATTGCAGAAGTCAACAGTAATTCATGGGAACAATTTATAGACTCCTTGAAAACTAAATTAGATCTGTGTCAGGCCATTTGCTGTCAGTTATGCTGCACAATCAGGTTTTAGAGCTATGCGATTCAAAGAAGCCCACCTGAAATGGCATACAGTACATGAATTTCATTTTGTTTATTCTCTGGGAACAGGTAGTAATACTGGAAACGTGAGCACATTAGCAAATGAATACAGTCTCCCAACAAAATGTTAGTAAAAATAAAACTGCACTAATTTAAGTGCTATTCTTTTCAAAGCTTTCTCATTAATGTCCCTAAATGAGTTAGTTTATTTCAAAGTTGTAGGATCATGTTAAAAGCTGCTTCTTTCTTTAAAATTAGAACTTTTATAGCACATGCTCAATGTACTCCTGTCTTTTCTCAATACAACGAAAAATCAAAACTGAGGCCAGTTGAGTAGCCTTCAGTCTCTTCAGTATAATTTAACTTGAATGCAAAAATAACTTTCAAACAATAACGGAATTACCTAAAAGATTACCTTCTCTATCGTATTTTTTCAAGGGGAAATGTTTGCCCATATGCTTATCGTGGGGTCCCTTATGTTGTGTGGTATACAGCCAACACACGTTCTCTTTGTTAATGTAAAGCAATCCCACTTTGGAAGTAGACCAGTTTTGATACAATACATGAGAAACAGATGCATTTTGAGATGGCTAGCACATTTTTCTTTCTTTAATGGTAATGCTTTCAATTCATGAATGTGGAATACAAATGTGGACTATCAAGCTTAAAAGCACAGAAAATAATACTTTGCAATTTTTGTCAAGGTAACAGTGTCCATAATAAGTGTAACCACACCAAATGTTACATTAAGATGTCCTTTTTAAATCAAATCCCTTAGATTCCATCTAGTAGGTATAATATAAATTAATTTATCTTTAAAAAAAATAAAGGTTTACATATTGAGGAACAGAAAGCCTCTTTAAAAGAATTCTTTCAAAGCTTTGAGGAAAATCTGAGTGCTACCCTGCTTTCAAAGAGCCTAGGACAGATACCTAGCCTAGGGTGACTTGTTCTGACAACAATTCTGAAAATCAGATCTACCACCACACTGCTAAGGACTCAACAGAATTCTGATGACTCACAGCTCCAGAAGTAGCAGAGCAAGACTGTTTGGTTGATTTTAGGAAGTCAACAAAGAAGGCAAACATCTTAGCAATCAACAAACCCCGTTAATAAGTCGAGGCTCACCATTGAGATGGGAAATATGGCACAAATAATTGTCAAGAAGTCCCCCCATCTGTTACAAAACCACACCAGGTTACAAATAATTTCATGGCAAAAAATAAGTAAAAAACTTGCAAGCAGTTAACAACAGCAATTAGCAGAAAAGACCCGGAAACCCACTTCTTTAATTTAAACCCCCCCCGTAATTTATAACCAAGGTGTTATCTTAAATGAAGCCAACCTCTCACGTGTCCTGTCACCTTTTCTTTAGAAGTGCTGGCTGCATGCATGGAAATTGTAAACCTGTCTTCAATAACGACTACACTATCACAATAACGACTACACTATCGCTGCTTCTACCCACACAATTAACTCTATAAAAGTACATTGAAAAAGTGGTTACAGCCTGACTATATCTCATTAAATCCACTTAAATCACATCTGTTTTAATGTAAAGCTTTCTTTTACATAGGGCACTGAAACAAAACATTATACAAAGTTGTGCACTCCTGATTATGAGTAGATTTTTTTTAAAAACGGGACAAAAAGCATAAAAACTGGATAAGCTGCTTTTGCATTGAAAAGACTTTGCAGTAAAATACATTCAATTCTATAGGGAATTAATGCAAATTTGAAGGACAAAATTTGCATTAGGCAATGGACCAATTAATGAAACAGCAGCCAGTGCTGAAATCATTTAAAATGTAGAATGCCTTAAATGGCTTTGGATATACAGTACAAGCATTGCCAGAGCTGGAGCTGCAGTGTAAGCAAAAGTCTGCACAGAACGATCAAAATGCTGATACTTGAGTGTGTTAACCCTGACCTAAAATGGAGTAAAAGCTAATCCGTGCCAACCTTTAAGCTCAAGGCCAGCTCAAGAGACCCCTGAAACAGACCCCGCTGCTGTGCTCCCTGGAATAGCTGGGGTCCTTCGTTTGAACCCAGCCTGCCACGTGGACTTCCTCATAATGCTAGCCCTGCTTGACACAAGACAGGTACCTGTGGAAGAGCACCGGCTGGGCGCTGCTCCGCCTCAGCTCTGTACTCCCTTCCTCAGAACAGAGCCCTCACATCGGCTTTGGGAGAATGTGGTGTCTAACGACTACAAAAGCGAAGGCTTCCACAGCCCTCTTGCGTGTCATTATATTACATTACAATCACTACATTCCATATCAGGAATAATTGGTACAAAGAAGTGTTATGATCCATAATTTATCCCCTAACTTTCTGAACAATCAGCAGCTTATGGAAGCTTAGATCTTCATGAAATAAATGGCCTGTCTCACTACCATTCAGACACCCCTAGTCCATACTCTACACTGTTACAGTATATATCCATATGTAATTGTGGTTACTGATTTCTGAGGCTTATTTTGAGAACTTGGGAAAAATTACATGAACTTATCAAGGAGACAGGTTTTCATGAGACTGTAGCACCTGATGGACCAGACACAACGATAAGCTTAGACGTTATACATACTGAATCTATCTGCTCCAGGGACACTTTTCCAATATTCTTCTGAATGCTGTAATCTTGTCCAACATAAGCATGGCTGAAAAGAAAAAACAAACAAATTTAAGCTTGGAAAATTAACCTACCTGCAGTAGGTACTTTGCAGTATGCTATTCCAATCACCTATTTTTTCATTATCACCCAGTATATTATCTGCAAAGCAAATGCAGACCACATTGTTCTGCCTGTCAGCATACACTTGCTTTTCCCCACTGATGGTTCAACCAGCCTTGACACCATTCATTCAAAAGCTGGGATACCAGAGGACTTCTGACAATGTGCATGCATTTTCCTGAAGGTGCAACCAACACCCTTGTCATTTGCGTAAATACAGCTGTGTTAATGGATTTAATAGAGTTGGGAACATTTGCTGTTCTTATGGCATTGAGTGATCCCAGAGGATCTGACACATCATAGACAGCTGGGTCCTGGAGTGAAAGCAGCATGTCATGTGCAATTTGGTAATGAATGTAGAGATAATGCATTATTGCATGACAAGCACAACATCTTAAGAACTTGTGTTGCTTTTTTGATTGTCCAATGAAAGTGGGAAAAGTTCAAAACTATTAAAGTGTTCAAGGTAGACTTCCATTAAAGTCCCTTTAAACGTTCGTGTTTTTTTGTTTCTTGTCACATGCATTCTGTGATATACTGTATTTCCAGTGAAGGCTGTTACTTCCCATGTTGGTAGATTAAATAAGTCTTTAAACCGACAGCCAGCAAGGGTACATAAGAAATGAATTAGCATCACACAACCATGGTTCTGAAGAGTAATGCACTCAAGCATAAGAAACATCGATGTACTTCCCTTTCTCTCATACACTAGTGACAAGCTGCCTAGCCATGCTGTCGAAGCTTATATTCCGTCTTATTTCAAAAACCAGCAGGATGAGTCCCTCAGATCCATTAGCTCATAGCAGGCAAACAACTGCGATGATCATGGTGGCCTCCTTGGTCTGTAACCTTTTTATGTGCCGAGCTACTTCAGAAGCTGGAATTTTTAAAGCTCTAGGTAAAGGCACTGAACACAAAAAGTTCAGAAGAAAACCAGCTCGACAAGAAACGTAACAGAAAATGAGTTTTCAGCTGTGTTCTGAAGACTTTTATTATTGGCTCACCAGGTTTCTTTTGTCTGTACCTTTCAAGATACTAAATACTAGTACTGAGTGCTCAACCTCCTCTGCTCAAGACTAGAGATCCAGTGCCTTAAAGTGTTTTGTAAAAGCGCATAGAAATGACTTCAGAGCATATCATTTTGTAACAACCTGATCTGAATTTTACGTTTCACGACAAACTCACTGGCCTAGCCTGATATTACTGGCCTGTTATAGCCTAAAATTTATAGATATTATAGCCTAAAACTCATAGATATGTTTTCAAAACAAAGAGCTGCAAGGCTTTTCAGCAGCTTAACTGTGACACCTCAGTTCTAGTAATGAAATTGGCTCTTAATTAACCTGAACTTAACAGTTTTGATTAAATAATTAAAGACTTGGTCAGAATAAGTTCACAGGCTCATCAGCAGAGTAATTAGTGCCCTGTTTGAACATGCTGGTGGTTGGCTCAGTGAAATGATTAAAGCTCTGTGTGGAATAAGCTGACATTCCAAATAGCCATTGGTCTATAATTGTTCTATAATGACAATTCCACACTCCACTATAGAAGATATGTTATTTCACTCAAAGCCAGAATCTTAAATGAGACATGGTCATTTGTTTTGTTTGTTGATGTACAAACTGACGTGTTACAGCCAGGTTTGCTCCTCACCTTCTCAGCACATGGTGTGCGACATGGACTTGCCACTTGAACCTGCTAATTACCTATTAACATGTGTGACTCGGTTAATGGGTTTTTCTAGGTCAGAAGACGTCAGTTCAGAAAGTAAGCAGGTCAGTAAGGTCAAAGTATCCACAAACAGTGATTATCCATGCAAAATTAAATGTTACAAATACAAAACCATCAGTTATTTCACATTTTGAATGTTAAATCTCAAAAAGAATGACTTTGGCAGCTGTAAGCATGCAAATGGAGTATCCTGTCATCTCATAGATCAGTGTCTACACTGTGGGACAGGTTGTTCTAGAAAACCACCATTGTCTTGAGACCTTTTACGCCATTCTAAAGCCCAAATGCACATCCTCTGGCTCTCGGTTCACTGCTCACAAACCACTGGATTACCCTTTTCAGCCCTCTCAACATTTTACGTACCTGAAGGACTTTCAATATGTGTGCCCAGTTATACCGACTGAAGAAGTTATTATTTTTTCAGTTTTTCTATTTTGTGACATGGTTTTTAGACCAAGAAATAAGATAACCACTCTAATCTGAAATTCTTACAGAACAACAAGATCCTTTTTATAACTGTGACTGACACATCGACACATTGTACGACTTTATCCTCCCTGACTTCGAAGATGAATGCCAGACTGAGCCACAATGTGTACATCACAGGGCCAGCTTAGCTGTGCGCTCCTTCTTCTGAGGCAAGCTGTGGCCAGAAACTGCTTGGAGCTTAATCCCTCTCACTGTCTTTTTGATGCAAAAGAGTCTGGCATTAGGGGATGCTTGTTTCTTTCAGAAGCACAGGACGGCATTTAACATCGCTTTATCGTGCTGCCCCAGCAAACATGACTCAGGAACACAGCAGTGAATCGTAACCTATTGTTCCTGCAGTCTCTTTGTAAATGCATCCAATTAAGAATGGGCATTTGGAATAAAGTCCCCATCCACTTGTACTGAAGTCCTTTGAGAATGTCTTTATTATTACTCTTTTTTGTGTGAATGCAGTGCAAATATCCTCACATGAGCAAGACTGGATGGTTATGATAAGCGAAACACCTTTCCAATTGAAAAGGGATTCCAACATGTCCCTTTCGGTCCCATCCTGTGATCACGGTGCAGCATGAGTCTTATATAGACTCAGCACAGGGAATTTGGTCAGGAATTTGCAGCAGCAGCAGATGGAAGCTCAGAGTGACACGAATGAGAAAACAGCTGGGATCACCAGCTCACTGCGCTCCAGCACCCCCTGCTGGTGGGCAGGCAGCAACGGATTGAGCACGATCAGTGAGAGAGCTCTGTCCAGCTCCAAGGTAGACGCTAGAACTGTGGTGTCACATGCCAGTACTGGGGGCTACGGTAAGGATGGGAAAATGTTATGGCTCAATTTTCTCTCTGCAATCTATGGGATTTTAGTTATGAAAATAATTGGGGAACCTGAATGATGATAAAAGAGAAACAAAGTATAGACACATGGGAGGTTAGCAATCACATATGCCCATCACGTCTTACCAAACAGACAGCATGAATGTGTACAGTCACAACATATCAAGGACCAATGAAACAACTGCACTTGAAGACCCATTCTCAAAATTAAATTTGTTTAAAGTAACATTAATTGCATTTGACAGTATATATACTGTTGGCTGTATTTTAAGAACTTTTGTATGCATACAGAGTATGTACATACTATATATTATTTTTTGAAGCAATATAGCTCTTGAGAAATGCAATTTTTTTCCAATCCACAAAGCACATTTTGATACCATATCCAAATTATTCGTGTTCTGTAAGCAGTACACTATGAATTTAGTTTTAATTGCTCTAGTGGGGGTTGCCCAATATGACCACATTTTACAAAATCGAACTATGGATTAGTGACAAGTGTACACCACTTCAGGCCTTGACAGAAACAGGTTGTAATATAGATATATCCCAAACTACTCTAGCTGTTCACTACTGGCTGCTGTAAGATGGCCATCTGTTATCAGACACACTGAACCCTTTCAATCAGTCACACTATTCTGTCCCAGAAATGCTAAACAGGATTCAGAGCTAGGCAAAGTGCATGCCAGCACACTGTGGGAATGTTGCTCTGTGCCAGGAATAGTCACACCTTACAGTGTGTTAGCTGTCATCATCATCCTGGAAAAGAGTCAGTACTCCACTACTCCAAAACAAGGTGATGATGACCAGCAATTACTGGTGCCAGCACCTACTGGTCACAAGGCATTACCAACACAATGCTGGCTGTGATATCTCCCTCCTGAGCTTGTTCATCTGGTTAAAAGGCAAAATGTCTACAGTCAATGTTCCCAGATGATGGCACCCCACTCCCAACCAACTGCCTAGCAAAGAAAACACATTTAACTGTTGCCAGATGTACCGGCCACAGTGAAAAGGAATCCACTCAGGTCTGTTAAGCACACAGACCAACAAAGTGACAGTGGCATTACAGTAAACACTGGTCTCTGACGGGTAACAGCGGTCTGTCAAGTTGGGGCAAAGGGTGACAGTAACAACCATGAAAATGAGGATGAAAGATTCTGATACCTCACATTGTGGGATGATGAAAGTGATGAAATGCTGCTTGTCTGTTGATGACATATGCATTGCATGTGCAATTATAAATTGGTTACAATACTGCGGTCTGAAATGTTGAGCAAACTTAATATACAGGGTCGTCCAACAGTACTGGAAAAGCAAATTCAAAATTAATATTTTGGCAAAATGTGTACTTGTGACCATGAGATTAATATGATTAATACAATATGATACATAATTCAGGATGTGATCAGAAGTACAAAGATGAGCCATGAGAACTTTGAAACTAACTGGACTGATGAGACCACACTAGAGTGCTGGAAAGAACTACAGATGCTTCAAGGAGCAGCCCCTCATCTGTGAAGCATGGCCTGGGCAAGCATGCACTAACTACCTCACTCAACTTTATCACTGATGGAAACAGACTTCACACGTTTACAGAAACATTCTGTGTGTGTGTGCAGAAGGAAATGTGTGCATACTTATTGGGCATTACTTATAAGAATGACTCAAAAGTATGTCCAATGGAACTAAAGATTTCATCAGTAAGAAAATGTGGAAATTTAGACTGGTCAAGTCATTCACAAAGGGCTATACTACCAAATACTGAGTTATACTCTCTGAATGGTCCCAACTCCTAATTAAAATCACCCAATTGACGAAAAAGAATACTGTTATAATATGATAAAATGTATGCACAGAATTATGGAACAACTGCACTTATTCATATTAATCTCATGATCACAAATATATATCCCTTGAATTACAAGAATAACAGACAACTTCACTATAATACTTTTTGCAGGTGTTTGTATACAGTATATACTGAACAGCAAAAGAGACTGTTCATATGTATGGTTTTAGAAAAACAAAGTATACAGAGTTTGGACATTAGGTGCCTTTTTGGGCATCAGATTGATTCAAGACTGACCTTTGCCTACTGTATGTACCTTATGATGTTAAAAAGTTGATAGGGCTCAGATAATGAGGTGATTAAACCTGTTACATGTCAATCTTAATGTAAATTAGGAAAGAAAAACACAGATTAACAGAATATGCCCAATTTATCAAGAGGATGATGCCTTTGTGAGATCAATATGTGGGAGACATGAGTAAGTCACCCTGGCCTGATGCACTCATTGTTGTGTACAACAGACTCATTAACCCAAAGGGTGATGGTCTAGGCAGGTCTGTTTTAATTGCTAAGGACCTCCACCTGCAGTGATGGCAATCTGCTGCTCTTCCTGAGGGCTCATCCTGATGTGCTTCCACACGCCGCTTGTGTAACAATGGCTTTCTTGTGAGATAATGTGACATTTGCACCCTACCTTGTTAGATATGAGCCCCACTGCACATGTGTGGGGTGAACAGGTATGAATTGTGGCATCCAGGGTTCATGCTTCTCCTGGTTCAATTAGAATAATGGATTAAATACTACAAGTCAGCGCCTGTAAGTGTTGCAGATGTACAGCTCGCAGTGCCTCCAACAGTGAAAGCACGCACAGGTTGTATGTAACATGCACAATAGACGCCCCTTGAAATGTTCCTGTTGTTTAACAAACCGTCAGTGCATGTATTACACAAAAGATTGTAATTTTCCATATAATAACTGTGTAAATGTGTAGCCTTTATATGCAATAGGTTTCTCCTAGTGTGCAGTATATATATCTATCGAGCCATTCTCAGTAACGTCATTGTGGAAAATGACCTAGAGGCACCTGGCCTTGCAAGTAAGACTCTCTTCAGAGATCCACCCAATCACAGCAGTGCAGCTAAAGACGTCTCAAGCTGGCACAGCTCTATTCAGTAGTCTAGAACAGCTGTCAACAACAGGAGTTTAGAAACCACTCATAAGAGCAACCTTGAGCTCCTGGCTACACACTGTAAAAGAATAACTGCTTTCTGAGGGTAAAATATAAAAACCTCAGATTTATGATTATAAAAATAACTATCTCCTCCACTAAAATATTGTTTTAAACTTCTGAGGATAAAATCACATGCCGCATGCTGTGTGTACCTCAATGACTTTCAACACTGTTCTGTGTTTTTTTCCCTTTTGTTCTGAAAAATACTGTCTAGACATGAGAGCAGGACTTTAATAAAAAATGTCTCTCTCTCTCCATGTCACCGAGCCCTGGACAGGCATCGGCTTTTCCATTAGGCAGGGCTGACGTTAGAAATATTGTCGGCGAAACCGTTCAATAGAAAACGGGCTGCATCTGCAGCCGATGTTATCGTGACTTCATAAAGGCATGCAGCTGGAGGAGGAAGAGGAGCAGAATTACCTGAGATGGCTAAGCAGGGGCTGGAGCCTCTCATCAGACTGCAGCACAGGCAGGGAGCGCGCAGTCAGCTACGAGACAAAGACACGCCAATGAGCTGGATCACACAGCCGTCTTGTTACCACAAAAATAAAACGTCCATCTCTTGTTGAACCGAGGTTACACTTTGAAATTTGGGTGAAAAAAAATTCAACTGAACCACCAGAAATCAATATTCAATGAACACTGAAAAACAATTTTAAAGATCAAAAGTATATCTAATCACTAATCACTTAACACAGAGCCCTAAGCTGTTGTGCTGTATCTATACACTGTAGAGAAAGGACTACATTTTTTCCGATTTTTCCAGCTGATTTTTTTTCCCCAAGTGGTTTCAACACGACAAAACAGTGTACCACGTTCTTCCACAGAGTACAATCCACAACAAATGCCTGCAGGATCATAGCAGACAGAAACACAAGTAATGAGATACTTTTCTTCTTTGTTAAAGAATGGGATTATGTCCCACAGATCTTGTAAATGTACGTGTTAGAGGCTTCACAGAAGATGTAGACTTCAGAAGCCTTTAAAGAAAAAATAAGTCTTTTCACTGGGGCCCCTTGCAGAAAATCAATGGGCTACACCCTGAGCTATTTAAGTCATGCTAGCCCTGCGCGCGAGTTTAACAGGGGTAGCGTATATAAATATTTTATGCATGAAATGCTTTTAGTTCTGATTTAGTTCTCAATTTCTCATTTGAAAGTTATACAATCTCTCATCTGAAATTATTACACTTTATCATTGAAAAAACCCTATAAAGAAAAATTAAATGGGCAAACTACCATTTTAATCTGTGAGTGTAAAACCTGTAAAACCAATTAAAGCAGGGTTTAGCCCTTCTGCAGAGAAACGAGACTCGTTAAAGCAATTAGACCATCAATCACTCCTCACCTATGATAACAAGGCATCAATAACTGAAAGAAAACGGGGACCATAATGAAGAGGTTCTACGTTTAAAACAGGATCAAATTATTGAAACAGCAGAGTGGTAAGTAGTGTACAGGAGGCTGGTCTCATCGCAGAGGATTAATGATTGCCGAGTTAGAGCTTAGTTAAAGCAAAGAAGGTTTTGCTCTAAAATAAAAATCTTAGAGGAAAATGCTGACTTGGAAGAGCTCTCTCAGTGGCATGCAGCTTGAGGAAATTCAGATCTTTGAGCTACGGAACAGTTTAAAACAATAGCTGTTACTACAGACAGTTCAGACATCCTTAAATTAAAAAGGAAATACAAAATATAAAATTCCTTGTACTTAAACTCCTTTGGTAAAGCAGCTTTAAGCAACAAGTGAGGAGAAAATTGACTGAGTTTTCGAGTACATATTTTATTCACTTACAGTAACTGTACTCTTAACACCTTCAAATTCTGTTATGCAACACAGTGTCATTATTTAGCTCCAAAAAGTATTTCTTCTGAGCTTTACAGGCTAAACTATTACCACAGACACCTTAAAAAACAAAACCCTCATCAGAAACCCGTCCATCTGATTAGAGCTGTGTGTACCACATCCTAGAGTAATTTTAGAACAAAGTCAATGGGTCTGTAGTTTATAAGCCCTTGCTACCGTCATTTAGAACATTTAAAGAAGAAAAATCCACAGTTGGATGGGCAGCTCTTGCCAATTTCACACTCTTTAATGAAACACTCACTCCTGCACGTCCTGTCCTCAAATTGCATAGGAAAATCATTAAAATGCATGTGAATCACAAAGGCGCACATGTAGGAGGAAGTCATTACTTTACTGGGGTGATGTTGCTGACCTACCTAATTACTGAGAAACAAGAAGTACATGGACCAGATACCTGAACCGCCATTGGAGGTCAGGCCACACGGGCCCAGTGTGCCAACTAAAATTGAAGACATCTCTAGCTGACCTGAAACAGAACCGTTAGCAGCTTCATTACCAAGGCAATTGGCTCCAACTTCCCTATCTGAGCATGAAATTACAACAGGGAGAAGAATTAAAATAACATTCATATCCTACTTGTCAAAGATCCCAATAACTGAAAGTTTTAGAAAACAGACAAACCAGGAAAAACCCAGGATTCAATGTGTACTAAATGCATATGCAAAATTCCACTTTTTACACATTCAACAGATTCTAGGCTCTGAGCTCAGTAAAGCTGCTGTGCAGTTTAGTGTCTGAAAATCAAAATTACAGATATTAAAAAAGATGCCAATTAGTAGTAATTCCTATGTTCTCTTACCTGAATAAGGTAATTCAGAAAAGGCAAAGCTACATTAGGTAGGCCAGGAACAGATACAGTCAGGGATATGGCCTATATTGAATCAAGATCTCACTCTCTGCATAGAAGTTGATGTGACAGCTCTTATCATGCCATCCATGAAACAATGAAGAACATGACGATGATGTGTACAGACTTCACACACATATAGAAATGCTAGCACACAGCTAACAGTATATACGCTCCCTCTATGCCCACATTATTTTGACAATCAGGGCTTCAGTCTCAAAAGGTCCACATTTGTGACCCTTGCCCTCTGGAGATTGATGTGTGTTTCACACTGTTGCACACGCAATACGTTTGCCATCTCCACTGGTTTATGAATGATGGATGCTGACATCTCAAGAAGCCACCAGTGTGAAGACACTATTACTCAAGCATGAACACATTTAGAGACCAGATGACTGGTGCACCAGCAAGAAAGCACAAGGCAGGAGCACCTGCTACAGATCCTTCTCACCATAGATGAACTTATTATATTTTAAGCCTGGTCTGGATGAGATCTTATCCAATCTCCCCTTTCCTCTTCAGCAAAAGAAAAATTGTAAGAATTTGGTTCTCTTTATTTCAACAAAAGGACAACACTGCCAATCCTGTCTTGTTATCAGAAAATGCAGCTATGCGATAATGAAATAGTGTTGTGACCTCCCAATTTGCTGCCATGCCTAAGAACATAAACATGCAAAGGATAGCTCTTAAGCAAAAGGACAATATTCAAACTGTGGGCCTCACTGGAGGGGTTGGAGCAGGATGATCTTGTTGGAGAGCAGTAATCTGGCACAACATGACATATTTACTGAAGACACTTAGGATATATGGACATGTATAGTATATGAATCTCCAGGAGGCCGTGACCAATCCCGAGTGTTAATTTTCAGGACTCTCCTCCAGGACAGACGGTTCTTTTTGGAAGCTGGCTGGATGTGAAAATGGGGCTTGCGTTTTGGTGTCAGGACATGTCAGGCATGAATGTTTCCTGACAAAATTCCTGGAATTAACTGACTTTGATATTGCTTTTGGTAGAGCTGAGGGCAACAGAGACCAATGCCCAGGTTCAGGCATCTACATCACTGCAAAATAATGCCATTATGCCTGATCTTGGTGTGGTAAAGATATGGCCTCAGTTTAATCCTTCCGTCAAAGAATTCACTTTGGTTTTAGGCAGACATAAATCACACTGCGATTTGTGATGTACAATGTGGAGATGCTAACCAAGTCACTATCAGATCACAGAGTTTTGCAGATATTTTAACTAATAATTTTTTGTGTTCTGGTATTTCAATACACCACCACTACAAAATGAGACTTTTCAGATTGGCATTTGCAATCTAAATTGCAGGAATTTCATTATATTAAATGTGGCTCAGTCAATAACCCTAATTTCTGTGGGATGCAATCAAAGGTGTTATTACAGATAACTATAATATTTGCCTCAAAATTGCATAAACCTCATCTTAGGAAAATTACTGAACTGGAAACCAAGTGGAATTCTTTAGAGCATGCTCAACAATATCACCTTTTCTGAGGTCACAGATTTGAAAAACAACCTTGTATGACAATAATTAAACTCATTACACAGACAACATGCTTCATTCCTTGTACAAAGACTCAGGCAGAATTAGTATTTAAGTGGCAGTGGACCAAGCTACTTCTGGGGCTAAGTTCTGGGACTCGGCAACAATGAACATTTTACTATTATTCCTACTGTCAGATCCCATGAAGTTAAACTTCATGCTATGCATACTATACTGTAAACTGCACAGTTCAGATACTCAGTTTGATCTCACACACCCACTCACACTAGGGATAATAGATGACAATAATTATGTCCACTTTTGCTTGACATGACATAGGAAGGAAAAGGAAAAGGACATATCTGGGAGTAATATCAAGACTGCTGTTATATCCCTATTAGGAAAAAATAAAATATCCCTCCCTTTGTGCAAGTGATGTGTGGATTGAATTTAGGACACCTCCAGAACACTCACTCACTCTACTTCTCTGCACCAATCTGTATGCAAAGATGCTTTAATGCTGGCAAGAGTCTTACATGACAAAATGAGTTCACTGCAATCAGGCAGGCTTATTAAAGACACTACAGACAATGCTGCTTGCGTGGGAATATCTTACTGGCTCTGCATTATACTGTATGGTTCTGGATCCCTTCATTAAAATTGTATATGGTCACCCCACTGTCACACTGGGCAGGTGTTCATCCACTTTGCCCTCCGTGTCTTTGTAGATTGTAGATCTCTGTAGATTGTCTTTGGAATCTACAGCTCAGGCTGCTGCTCAATTACCCACTTTCATCCCGTTCCATGTTAATAATACTCTATATATTTGCTACACAGGCGATGTAGCGTTATATGGTATGTGACAATATCTCCCAATCCCTGGCTCAACTCTATTTCCAAACATTTCAGTACTCCGTCATATTCTGCAGTGAAAAAAGCCGGCTTACTTCCAATCTCGGTTTTGAGATGTTCTCTTCTTTACATACCCTCACAGCGCACAGCCTTTCACATACTTTTAAACAGGTAGCCAACGACCTGAAGAGATGAACTCATCTCCCCGACTCATTTCAGACACCAGTCACCTTATTAAAAGTGAACATCTCGTTTGAATTTTTTCTGCTCTGTGGCTCCAGCTCCCCTGTGATGCTAAACTGGAAGAAGCAGTTAGAAAATGGATGGGTGGATTCCTCTTTCTTAACCCATAGCCCGCTTTGAGGCAGAACTGGGCTGGCACAATCAAAGCCCTGTCACATAGGGCCCCTGCTGCAGCTGTG